AGGGTATTTGGTATTTAACTCCAGTTCCAGTGAAGGTCTTCTTCCAGACTCCTTCTTAGCTTCTCGTTAAAATGGGGCCGTTACTAGCAGTCCAACTGGATGACCTCAGAAGGATGCTGAGTGACAAGGATGCTGTGTTAGCCACATTGTTGCACAGTTTCCATAACAGAAGACCTCCTGGCAAAGAGCCAGCAGCTTTGTTTCATTTTCCCCCACTTATAAAAAAAAAGTGACTTGCTGTTCACATTATGGGTTCTCGGAAGGCAGCTATGCTCACCCCTATACCACCAAGACAACATTTTGGGTTCTTAAGTTAGCTGTATCACATCACTCAGAGTAAAAAGAAAATGGTATTGTGCATCATTTATGGCCGTGTGCCTTTCTGTAGCTCTCCAAGCTTAATGTGTGAACTATGAAAGGTCAGAATGGAGAAAGGAAGGCAAAAATTACAGAATAGCAGGGCCTCCAGCTTGCAGATTCACCTGAGCAGAAAAAAGGTGACACTGAATTTACACTACAGAATTTCATATCCTCTAATTCTTCACAGAGGAGTTCTCATGACTAAGTGATTATGCATTCCACTGCTAATCAAAAGCTGCTAATTCTGCTGCTAATCCAGAGCTGGTTAGAACCCACCAGCTCTTTTTTTTGAAAAAAAAAAAATTTATTTTATTCTGATTTATTTACGTTTGAATACATTGTTTTTCACAAAAGATCCTTCCAATTTCCTTCACCCCACCCTGCCATCGAATTGTGCAACCCTGTGATTAGCACCCTACTCTCCCTCCCCAGCAATCCTCACGCCTCTATTTCCACCCTCCCCCTCCTGCCTTGGATCTTATACTCATTCTACAATAATTGTTTTACACAGTATTTGTCCTTATGGGACTGAGTTAGTTCGCTCAGCATAATGCTGTTCAGTCTTTCCCAAGTTAGGTAGTAATTTATGAAATGATTGCTCCTATGTGCTGCATAGTATTCCATTGTATGAATGTTCCACAACTTCTCAATCCATTCATTTGTGTTTGGACATCTGGGCTGTTTCCACGTTCTTGAGATGGTGAATAATGCTGCGATCAATATTGGTGTACAAGTTTCCATTTGAGCCTCAGTTCTCATTTTCTTGGAGTATATTCCAAGTAGTGGAATAGCTGGGTCAAATGGAATTTCTATGTTCAGCTTTTTGAGGAAGTGCCAAACTGCCTTCCAGAGTGGTTGTACCATTTATACAATCCCATCAACAATGTATAAGACTTTCTATCTCACCACATCCTCTCCAACATTTATTACTTGCTGCCCTGTTAAACTTTGTCATGACTACTGAAGTGAGATGGTATCTAATTGTGGTTTTGATTTGCATCTCTCTCTTTGCCAGTGATTTGGATCATTTCTTTATATGTCTGTTGGCTGTTTTGGAATCTTTCTCTATGAAAATTCTTTCCATGTCTTTTGTCCATTTTGTGATTGGGTTATCAGTCTTTTTCTTGTGGAGGCTCAAGAGTATTCTATAAACTTTTGTTATGAGACTCTTGTCTGAGATGGTATTGCCAAAAGTTTCTTCCCAGTCAGTAGGTTTTATTTTCACCATGTTGGAAAAAGTTTTTGGTGTGCACAGGGATTTAATCTTTAGAAGGTCCTATTCATTAATTTTCAACTAATAATCCTCTTGAGATTATACATTTCTGGCCATTTGGGGCAGTCTCTTTATACTGTGAACTAAGCCTTCTAGGCTTGATCCCAGTTTGTCTCTTATGAACTTTATGGTTTGGGGCTTTACTCCCAAGTCTTTTATCCACCTTGAGGTGATTTTTGTGTATGGTGTGAGATGTGGATCCTGTTTCCGTTTTCTGCAGGTAGCAGTCCATTTTTGCCAACACCATTTGTTAAAGAGATGGTCATTTCCCCATTTGATAGGTTTTATTTCCTTGTCAATTATCAGTTGCTGGCTCTGCTGCCTCATTCAACCTCCAGCTTCCTGCTCCCTTCTGCTTGAGCTCAAGGAGTCCTGCATGGTCCTGCCAAACAGCAAAGATCCCTACAAGTACCTGAATGGACAACCAGAAAGCCTTGGTTTTCCCTCCAAGAACTGGTTCTGTAGCCTCACTCAAATTCCAGCTCTTTTGTGTTGCTCTCTGGAACGTTGCTCTCCATCTCTTAATTCCAGCTGTACCAAAGCACTAATCCATCCCAGGAAGGTAGAGCTCACCATTAGCTCTCTCAAAAAACAGAAAGCCACTGATGCTGTGCTCCAGAGTCAGCAGTACCTGAATTTTTTCAAGTATATCACCAGGACTCACTTTCAAAGCAACTTTTGGGTGGAACTACCTGAACTGCCAGTCCCTCAGCTAATAGCTGAACACATTAGCATTTGTAGCACACCATAGCCACTCTCAGAAGCCCCTAAATTTCATGGAGGATGTGACAGTTTGAAAAGCACTCTGGGAATGTACGATGAGACCTTTATGTTATATGGTTGAGTATCTCACTTATAAGCAGAGTAGCTCTACCTTCACGACTATCCCTAAGGTCTGTCAAGGAGATATTCTTCTCAAAGAAGAATGCATACGTGTCAAAAGGAGGAGGGTGTGCAAAGGACCTTGAGATGACCAGCATAGGCTCAAGGATAGCAATTTTCTTCATTCCATGTCTACCCCTGTGTCTACCTTTGTGTCCACCCAGTGTAGTTCTGAAAGAAATCTCAGAAAGTGATCTCCCATATTTGTAATAAAGAACAGCTGGATTTATCTGCACAGAATACTATAAGAAGGGTGCTGGTGGCAGAACTGAGTGCTTAAAAGGCAGAGATATAGCTGCTGTTTCTCCTTTCCTATTGGAAGGACTCCCAACTGGGAAGCTCAGGGTTCCTGCCTTGGAACCCACCTTAGTGAAATCCAACTGTTGTATACTGTCAAGTCATAGCTGACCCTCCAGCAAGTTTTCAAAGGCAGTAAATCACATCCTCCTGCAGAGCAGCTGGTCGATTTGCACCTGTCTTTGGTTTGACAGAGCAGGTCCTTAACAAAGACTACCAACTAGAGAATACAGGTTCACTTTGACATACCTTTCTGTGACCTTTCAGCATCTCTGGAAATTTAGAAAAGGCCTTGAGCATCCCTAGAGGATCCAGCTTTGTGTAGAGCAACTTGGATCCTACCTTAGGGGTTGGTCTTCACTACACCCAGCCACCCACCCACAGTGGATGAGTTACAACTACCTCTTCCAGGAAGCCTCTCTTTCCCTACTTGACCTCCCCAGGGCTCACTGGAGCTCTCAGCCCATCGTTGAAAGGTCCAAAATATGAGAACTATGGTAATTGGCACTTAAATGTCTAATTGTATTATGGATGCAGTAGCTTAAACAAAATAATTAATCCTAGAAATTTTAACTTGTCCTAACCTGTCATTTTTGCTGAGCTATGACTCCAGGGATGTCATGAGGGGTAAGGGAAATCAGGCTGGTCACATTTGATCAAAAGCCTATTGGAAGAAGCCTTATGACAGGGAAGCTGACCACAGAAAACATAATGTACAGCCACAGTGGCTCCTGAACAAAGAGCCTACAGCTTGAGAACACATGCCTGCAGTCTGTACAGCTGCCCACACTATAAATGCTGCTTTGTAAAACAATAGGATGGTTTGGAGCCTTGAACAGCAGGCTGCCTCAAGAAGCCCACTGGTACAATGGTATCTGCACCATTCTTTTATGTGTTGGTTTTTGTTTTTGTTTTTCAGTCATTCCTCCAACCTTCTCTCTCATAATTATTTTAATTAACATTGCCTTTTTTTTTTAAGCTGAGTTGTGTTTGATGTGTGTTCTTGTTCCCCTCCTCAAAAAGTGGGTGTCAGTTGAACTTTTGACCAAGGGTAGAGGCCTGCTAAAGGGTGTTTTTTTAATTTATTAATTTTAGAATGAACATTCTTTATGTGATACAGCATTCCTTTGTCTATTTGCTGTACTGAATATCTTGGAGTTGCTGTGATGCTGAACACTGTGTCGTGTCAAATACCATAATGGTTACACTATAGTACAATGCTTGGAGGAACTTCCAGATTGTTTCAGGTTGGGAAGCAGAAGTGTCATACACTTCCTAAATTAGATGCCTCTGGAAACTCTCAAGTGTACAGAATCCTATTAATTATAGAACTGAGTTTAGGTCTTTTGTATAAGGGTCGCTATGAGTCATATTCAACTTGACAGCAGTTAGCCACAGCTAAGTGAGACTAGTGTTGTTATATCTGGAGGAACACTTTGTACATCACTCTTTCTCAATGTGCTATATGAAGTAATCTGGGTTTGCTGTGATGCTGAACCTTGTGCTTTTGGAGTGTCAAATGCCATAATGGTTTCCCAATGTGGACACTGTTTGGCGGAGCTCCCAGTTGTACAACAGGTTTGGAAGCAGGAGTGGCATCCACTTCCTAAACCATATCCCTCTGGAAACTGTGAACTTGCAGAAATGACGATAGTTATGGAAAGGCATTAGGTCCTTTGTTCATACAGTCACTATGAGTCATGCTCAGCTCGGCAGCAATCAATGACAACCACCATCACATCTCTTTCAGTCCGTTTGATAGCCAGACTGTACAGTGTTAAAGACAATGTGTGCTGTGTTACTACAGTGATAAGTCCTATAGCCTATCTACAGGCTTCCATATATTCAAGTAGTTTATTGTACCTACCTTTGTTTGTTCCCCAATTGTTGTTATGTACCACTAAGTCGGAACTGACTTCAAGGCTCACCCTCTAGCAGGTTTTCAGACGTAGTGAACTGCACAGGAGACTGTCCATCTTTTCTCCTGCAGAGCAGCTAGTAGATTCAAACCATGAGCCATTTTGTTAGCAGCACAGCTCCTTCCCAGTAATCCGTCAGAGCTCTTCTCCCCAATAGTAGTCATGGAAAGAGGGAAAAGTTCTTCACTTTAGATTTTCATCAACTACTGGGGAGGTGAAGAGGTTTTCAAATAATGTGTCATTGATCAAAAACTTTGTTTTGCTATTAGGTTGCATCTGATGCCTGAAGGAAAGCACAACGTGCATTTACATTTTGCAAATGAATTCAACAACTTAGTGGAGGACTTCCTACAGTGAAATGCCCTGAAGTTTAGTCCTGATGATTCCTGGCATGGGTTGTGATATTTGCCTTTGAAATCACACCTAAGCCCTGTTTCAGTGTTCCTGCCTTCCTGGCCTTGCTGCATCTCACATACAAATTATTCTTGATCAAATGGAAAAAAAGAATAATGACTTAACTGCACGTAATCTATATGAAAATAAACTGATTTTTAAAATTAAGCTGTCAATGTCTACTATTGTCTTAAAAAATAAATTCTTACTGTGATTTTACTTGGAAATAAATTTGAAGAGGTAGATCATTTGTTGTATTCAGCATTTCAGTACACATTTTACATGGGAAGTACAAACACTTTCTTATTTATATTTATCCCCAGCTCTACTTTTACCTGTATTTATTCCTAGCTCTACAGATCCATAAGGTATCTGGAGTTACAGTACCTGGAGAAAGCTTTACCTTATCTCTAATACACTTTTCTTTCCTGGTTTACTTTTGAAAAATCTCCTTTATTTTAACAGTTTGGGCCAATGAGGATTAGACTATCTGTGTTTCTATCTGTCTTTACCAAAAGGTAGGAAGGCCATTAATTAAAGGTGCTAAAGTAGAAATCCTATATTGTTACTAAAATTATTAAGCCCTGAAACTTTATACTTAAAAATAGTAAAGATAAGCATATTTTAAGTGAGAATGAAGATCCCACAATATTCATTGGACACATGCATTTTTATTGTAGAGATCTTAACAGACAGTATCATAATTGTTAAGGAGTTCCATATAGTACATCAACAGTGTGAACTTCTGACACAGACAAAACAGAGCACCATAGTGTACAAAGAAAGACCATGCTTGAGGACAGTAGTAGAAGTTCACTCAGGATGTGTGATTTATTCAGAGAAGTTCTTACGCTTCCTCCTCGACTTCCTCCTCCTCGAACTCCCCTTGCTCATCAGCTGTGGCGTCCTGGTACTGCTGGTACTCGGACACCAGGTCGTTCATGTTGCTCTCAGCCTCAGTGAACTCCATCTCATCCATGCCCTCGCCCGTGTACCAGTGCAGGAAGGCCTTGCGCCGGAACATGGCTGTGAATTGCTCGGAGATACGCTTGAACAGCTCCTGGATGGCCGTGCTGTTGCCAATGAAGGTGGCTGACATCTTGAGCCCACGGGGTGGGATGTCACACACAGCCGTCTTCACGTTGTTGGGGATCCACTCCACGAAGTAGCTGCTGTTCTTGTTCTGTACGTTCAGCATCTGCTCGTCCACCTCCTTCATGGACATGCGGCCCCGGAAGATGGCAGCCACTGTCAGGTAGCGGCCGTGGCGCGGGTCACAAGCGGCCATCATGTTCTTGGAGTCGAACATCTGCTGGGTGAGCTCGGGCACAGTCAGGGCCCGGTACTGCTGGCTGCCCCGGCTGGTCAGGGGGGCAAAGCCAGGCATGAAGAAGTGCAGCCGGGGGAAGGGCACCATGTTCACGGCCAGTTTGCGGAGGTCTGCGTTCAGCTGGCCTGGGAAACGCAGGCAGGTGGTGACTCCGCTCATGGTGGCCGACACCAGGTGGTTGAGGTCTCCGTATGTTGGGGTGGTCAGTTTCAGGGTACGGAAGCAAATATCGTAAAGCGCCTCATTGTCAATACAGTAGGTTTCATCTGTGTTCTCCACCAGCTGGTGGACAGAGAGTGTGGCATTGTAGGGCTCAACCACAGTGTCTGACACCTTGGGAGAGGGCATGACGCTGAAGGTGTTCATGATCCGGTCAGGGTACTCCTCCCTGATCTTGCTGATGAGCAGTGTGCCCATCCCAGACCCCGTACCGCCACCCAGCGAGTGGGTCAGCTGGAAGCCCTGGAGACAGTCACAGCTCTCGGACTCCTTCCTCACCACATCCAGCACTGAGTCCACCAGCTCTGCCCCCTCTGTGTAGTGGCCCTTTGCCCAGTTATTGCCGGCACCACTCTGACCTGCCAGATGGAAAGATTATTAGAAACTAAAGTATATAAAAAACTGTCTTCTGTCATTTAATTTAGGGGGAAGATAATAAAACTACTCTTTTAGTCGCAGAGTCTTTTTTTGATACCCCCTTTTTACCTAGAGAAATATTTCTCAGTGTATCAGTGTTCTGAGGCTCCATCTAACATACTTTGGACATGTTGTGAGGAGAGACCGGTCCTTGGAGAGGGACATCATCCTTGGGAGGGTGGAGAGACGGCGCAGGAGGGGAAGGCCCTCTATGAGGTGGATTGATTCAGTGACTGGGATAATCAGGATGGGTGTGTCAGAGACAGTGCGACTGGCACAGGAGGGAGCAGAGTTTAGGGCTGTTGTACATAGGGTTGCTATGAGTCGCAAGTGACTCGAGGGCAAATAACAACAACAACATCAGTGACCTTTAAAAATAAAGTGAAGAGGAAGTTTCATTATGTGAAACTCAATTCAGAAAGCAGACAGGTTGAATAGGACCAACTACATTTAAGAATAGAGGATAAGACTTCGGGATGCTTAAGTTGTATGTGGTGATGGCACAAGATGATCAAACAGCACAGAATGGCTCTACATGGGTGTCTGAATTTCTGGTCTTAACCAGTTCTTTGGCTTTGATATCTTAAGGGGATACCTGTTTTCATTGACCCTTTGAAATGACTAGTAGCCTATGAACTGTTATTGTTTGAAGCTTTTATATTACTTTTTTAAACTTTCTCCCACATCAGCATGCATCACCAGGATTGTGGTGTTTATATTTAGAAGGAAGGTGAATCATTTAGTCAGTTCCAACTTATCATGGGTACATACATACCAAAGACGAAGTTGTCTGGCCTGAAGATCTGTCCAAACGGCCCAGACCTGACAGAGTCCATGGTGCCTGGCTCCAGATCCACCAGGATGGCCCGAGGTACATATTTGTTACCTGTGCAGGATGAAAGCTAGACTCAGACCTGCAGTTAGCAGAGGGATCATGGGAGAAGGCTGGGTCCCACCCATCTGATTAGTGTGAGAAAAATCTTCCAACTGAGAAAAAAAATGTAACATGTTCAGTCATGTTAAACATTCAGGAGTTGTAAGTGCATTCTTTAGGCAATAGCATTAAAATGAATGTAAAAACATTTCTTTTGTCATCTGTTTTCACCAAATACGTATGTTTCTACAGTATGGAAAACGAGATGGATTAGACAGAAAACATTCCAATAATTACCAGCAGCTTCATTGTAGTAGACATTGATTCTCTCCAGCTGCAAATCACTATCGCCGTGGTAACTGCCAGTAGGATCAATACCATGCTCATCACTGATGACTTCCCAAAACTGGAATGCAAAAAAGGGAAAAGGACATAAGAGTGCGAGCCCTTCCTTGGACAACGGCAGCTTCAGTCAGATATGCACTGAGACCTGGGAAGAGACGAAATAGCTGCACGCTCCATTTCCTCCAGCAGCAGCTGCTGCTGAGGGGCTGGGAAATCCGCAGTGCATCAGCCATATTATGGCGACAGACTGAAAGCAAGGAGTGGCCCTGCAGGAGGAGGTGGGCACAGCACTAGCCCGGAGGCAGCAGTAAGCCCAGCCAGGAGCTCTCCCCCTTCCCAGGACAGGGCTGGATGTGAGGCTGCCCCCTTAATAGATGGCCCTGGCAGGATGACAGGTAAGCCTGCACTGGCTGCCAGAAAACCCCACCCAGATCTCCTGAGCACCAGACAGGCAAGCGTCCAGGCAAGATCACAGCAAGGCTGGAGGTGTGGATCGGGTAGGGGGGTGGTGGAGAGGCTAGTCCTGGGGAGGTGGAGACTCCATTGCAGGTAAGGGGCGGGAAAGCTGGGGGGGGGGGGGGCGGCAATATGGCTGTCTGAAGGAGCTCCTCGCACAGCTGTGCATCCACACCCGCACCAAACCAGCTCCCGCCCCCTGGTAATCACAGCGCTGTTCCACCAATCCTACCCCTCCAAACACCACCTCCTTGTGCAGACTGTCCTTTTAAGATGTTGCCATGCTGAGTGCCTGCATCGAACATCTATTCTGTGTAACCTCACTGAGAAATATATCTGTCATCCCAATGACAGTGCATTTTCTAAAAATTCACAGTAGGCAAAAATGTACCCTTTAATTCTTCATCGAAGCGCTCAATCAATATGATCGTAGCCCCTATCCAAATATGCAAAATGCTAACGCCAATCGTGTCTTGCAGAAAGGTTGGTGGACATTTAAAAGGGCCCCATTGAAAGGCATGCGGTTTAGTCGCCTGGCGCATGGTGTCAGGTTGGGCAGCTTCCTGGGCGGCGCCTAGCGCGAGCACCACAGATCCTATCCACCCAGAGACCGGCCAGCGCCCCATCCGGACCCTAGGAGTCCCATCTCGCCTCCTCTGTTCCCCTGGGCCCCGATCCGCACACATGGGGTCCTCTCTGCCTCTCCCCGCGCCCATCACCCGACTTCAGGCCATATCCTTGGCCTTCTACCCAGCCCCCTCCCCAGCACTTCTGCCTCCGGCACATCCTGGACCCGCGTATCCCGTGCCCAGCCCCCTCCAGGGAGCTTCTGCCTCACATCTGGAACCAAATGACACCTGCCTACCCCCATCCTGGACCCTCGTGTTCTGCCAGTCCCCTTCCAGGCGATCCTGTCTCCTTTCTGGATCTTTGGGTCTACGTCAGTCCCATCCTGGACCCTCGTGCTCCCTGCCCAGTCCCATCCTGGACCTTCCTGACACCCGCCCAAGCTCATTCTGCACCCTCATATCCTGGGCCCAGCCCCCTCCCGGGCGCTTCTGTCTCGAGCCTGGACCCTTGAGTCTCTGCCAGGCCCACCTTGGCGCCGATCTGGTTGCCGCACTGGCCCGCCTGGATGTGCACGATCTCACGCATGGTGCCGCGGAGCAGAGGTAGTGGACCCCTAGGAGCTACTGACGCACTGCGGACGGGGCTGGAGCGCAGAGACAGCTGCCAGGCCACTTCTCCGTCTTTTATACCGAGCGGAGGTGGGCGGCGAGCTAGCTACCGTCCGCCCCGCCCCGACCCGCTCTCGCGCGCTTA